GTAATTTTCCGGTATATTCCCATAACAATATCCATTCATCTATTCACAGGAGCGCCGCGCGCGGGGCGGACCATTGGTCGAAAGGGAGGGACACCGGAGGGAAACTGGTTGGGTGTGAAGTGCCCCCCACACTCACGACCACTACATGCACGTCTACTTTTAAAGGCAGCGCCCTCAAAATGTTGTAATGGACAAAAAAAAAAGCCCATAGGAATGCGACACATTCCAATTTCTTGCACACTGTTCGGACTTATTTCACCGAAAAATTAAAAGAAAGACGAGAGTCGAACTACTTGACGCCAAAACTGTGCCACAGAATACAAAAGTCTCAATCAAGAATCGATCTTGAAAGCAGATGATACACACGTTTAAGGAAAAAGACCTGTTCTTCTCTCTCATACACACTACTTTGATTTTATCTTCTATTTGTTTAAATTTCCGCTATCAAATTTTTTGCACAGATTTTTGCGTTGATTAACACTTTTGTGCATTTATTTGAACGAAATCATGCATTTTAGTGCACTAATTTGTTTGATACGTGACGTATGTATGTATAAGTTAGTACAAATAACCTTTGAAGAAAAACCGAGAAAAACGTACAGATACATTTAGCTGAACTAGTGGCGTACAGGAGAGGGGTGGGGGACAGTACAGCGGGCGGAGACCTAGTATTTGTTTAGCAGTATATAGGAGCCAATCGGTGCGTTCTGACAGCGAAACACCCAATCAAAAATATTAGCTGCCGCAGCGAATTTGGGATAAGCTATCCCAAAGTTGGCTAATTTGTTAGTTGTGAGGACTAAAAAACTTTTTTTGCGTGCTCTGGTCTACACGACGCGCCCAGCTCGCCCCGCCCGCGAGCGCCATATTGGCCCCATATATTAATCGGTCTCGGCAGCCTCGCCAGCTGGAGGCCAGAGTGCGGGCCGGAATGGCCGTCCCTGTCAGCCGAGCGTCAACGCCGCGCCCGAAATGTGTGTCCGAATGTCATCGACAGAGGGGGAGAAAAAACAGGCGAAACAATCGTGATGAAATAACGGAAATGGAATAAGCAAAAACAAACAAAGGGTTCTATCTGGCGCGCACACACACTGCGCGATCCAGAAGAAAAA